TGCCTCTGCCTCCCGAGTGCTGGGATTAAAGGTGTGCGCCACTACCGCCCGGCCACTTTCTCTTTTGATTGCTTATTTGTTTATTTGAGTGGTGGTGGGTGAGGTGGGATGGGGTGAACACATCACATTGGGTGAGTGAGTGGTGGATAGACGACAACTTACATGAGTAGATTCCTTCCTTCCATTATGTGGGTTATGGGGATGGGACTCAGGTTGTTGGCAAGTGCCTTTACCTGCTGAGTCACCTGGCTGGTCCATGAGATTCTAGTTCTCTGTCCTCCGAGGGGCCTTGCGTAGCATTCCCACATACTCTACACCAACCCCTGGTCCCAAACAGGTTTCCAACACTTACATCCAAGGCTAAGTGGAAACCCAAAGTCAATACCAGGCTTAGTTCCTTTTGCTTAGGTTTGCCAAACTGAGACACAAGGCTGCGGTTAATTTTAGATGCCATGATGCCTAGAGCTATAGCAACCAATCCCAAGAAAGTAGACATCTGTCCTAAGGGCAACTCAGATGTCTGGGGAGTCTACTGGCACCCTAAATTTGGTGGCCTGAAGCACCTGCCTGTTGGGTCAGGGAGAGGACTTGGGGCCCTATGCATCAAAAGGTCTTCTTAAGATTCTTCACAGGCCCTTTGGAGAACCTGAAGGAAGCCATGGCTCTTCTCTGCAAAAAAAAAAAAAAAAAAAAATGCCCAGAGGATCTCTTTCCCAGGCTAGAACCCCAAGAAAAGACTGTGGAAGGCTATTCATTTATTAAAAACAAAACAAGCCGGGCGTTGGTGGCACACGCCTTTAATCCCAGCACTCGGGAAGCAGAGGCAGGTGGATCTCTGTGAGTTCGAGGCCAGCCTGGTCTCCAGAGTGAGTGCCAGGATAGGCTCCAAAGCTACACAGAGAAACCCTGTCTCGAAAAACAAAAACAAACCCCCCCCAAAAAAAACAAAAACAAAACAAAACAACAACAACAACAAAACAAAACTAGTGGGCTGGAGAGATGGCTCAGAGATTAAGAGCACTTAACTGCTCTTCCAGAGGTTCCAATAGATGGTGGCTCACAATCATCTATAATGAGATTTGGTGGCCTCTTCTGGCGTTCAAGAATACATGCAAGCTGAACACTATACTTAATAAATAAATAAATAAATCTTTAAAAAAAAAAAAAAAAAAACCTGGCTAACTAAGGCCCTTCAGACTGACAGAAGCATGAGGCCCCTGTTTTCCTGGACTGCTGTCAAGAGAAAGGGAAGTACATGATGACAGATAGTGACAGATATAAAAAGGAAGGGAAATTATGTTAAGGGTATCTACCCTCCTGTAAGAGAGGCAAGGAAACAGTTGAGTGGCCAAGAAGGGCCTCTTTAAGGAGGTGACATTAGAATAGAGTTCTGAAGGACAAGAAAGGTCCGGGCTCAGGAAAATCACGTGGACAGATGTCTCGCAGAGAAAAGAGTGAGGACCAAAGAACAGGGAATAGGGATGGCTTTGGAGTACCAGATGAACTGAGTGCAAGCTGCTTTGGCTGGGCCAAGTGGGCTAGGAGGAGTGTGGTGAGGACAATGCAAGAAAGGCAGGAGCTCTGGGGTGTAGAAGTTTATCCTTAGACTGTTCCCTGCCACCTCCAATTCCACATTATCCAGATCCAATATCTACACTTTCAGGAAGACTCTGCCAGTCTGACGCTCTGGGAGAAGCCTTAGGATCTGCATCACAGAGGACGTGGTTCTGCACATGAGCTACATCCTTTTAGTCACATCCAAAGCTCCTGCAGCATCCATGCTGGTACCTCCAGAAGTAGGCAGTCACACGTACTCAGTCAAGAGCTGCTGCATGGATGGTGCAGTTCATGTTCCTAGAAAAAGAATCGGGCTGAAATGATAGACTCAGCTTTCTTGGACCACTTCTGGTCAGGTATTGTGTAGAAGCTGTTTGCCCTGCATGAGTCCGTGCCCTTGTTATTAAAATAGTCTCTTAGCAGCATCTAAGTCAAGCTGGAAATGTAGCTTAATTGGTAGCATGCTTTAATCCCTGGATTCAATCTCCAACACCATATAAACTAGTCATGATGGTACACATCTGTAATCCAGGAAGTAGAGGTAGGGAGATCAGAAGTTCACAATTATCCTCAGCTACATGGTGAGTAAATGGTCAGCCTAGTCTACTTGAGACCTTGTTCAAAACAACACCTGAATGGAAGGCCTACTATGTCAACAATGGGTTCCCCACCAACCCTGGCTATTGTTTCTGATCTATCAATATTATTGCTCTCTATGTTTATCAGGTACCGATGATGACAGCTCCCCAGCTAAGTTCCAATCCCTTATTTATCTGTGGTTGGTGCCATGAGAGCTAGAGGGGACTTTTTAGACCAAGACCTCACCTCATCATCAAGGATGATGCCGCCAATGTCACCAGTGGCAGATTGTGTTATTGGAACTGAGAAAATTCTCTGCTTGTTTTTGTCACAACTCCCCCACTCCTCCAAATGGTCTGCCCTTCTCCACATCGCCTAAGTCCACAGGAGGGTTCAGTCAAGTTCACTAGCTGGCTATAAAGCTGGTTTTAGCTGTTCCTCTGAGACTCTTGGGTAATGCCTTGGACACTTTAGGCCTAGGACCTCAGCTGGCCTCGCTCTGAACAACACTATGGCTGTTCTTAGGTGACTCTTGAGGCTGTTCCAGCCCTGACCCTCATGTCTGTTTAGGCAGCAGCCCCAGAACAGATGAGGCAGGTTGGGCCAGGGTGTCTGGGTAGCACAGCCTGCCACAAGGCAAGGAAGGGAGAAAGAAAAGACAGTTGTTAGCTTTGGTTCTGGGGAGAAGGGGGAGGCAGGCCAGGGGAAGGAGGAGACAGAAGAGGAGGAGGGCCTCTGGGTGGAGGCGGAGGGTGAGACAGACCCTGCCCAGAGCTCCAAGTGGCTTCCTGCTGCTTGCCTCTAAACCCCTCCACATTCCTGCAGCACTTCAGACTGCCAGAACTGTTCTGCCGCCTGCCTGCCTGCCTGCCTGCGCCGAGGTATGCACCACCCTGCCAGCCCCTGTCCTTCTGTAAGCTGCATTAGTCCCTCTGCCCTTTCACCCACAACTAGCCTGTAGTGGGGGTAGCGGTGGGCTAGGAGGTAAGCTGAAAGGAGGCTTCCCTTCAGGACACAGGCGGGAAGCCTGTTGCTCACTCACGGGAGAATTTGCTGTCTCTGTAGCAATAGCACTTTCTCTCTGTGTGTTCTCCCGTGGCAGAGGCTGCTGCTCTGTCTTCTGTCACCCTCGGTGGCAGCTGTCTCCTTTTCTGGGAATCTGATCCTCATTTGCCCATCACAATTGCCAACCCGGAAAGATTCTGGCTGGCATCCTGCTGGTACTGGCTTTCTATTCCAGGAGAACAGACAGCTAGTTCTGGGTCAGAGCACGGTTGTCCAAATGGGACTTTGCAAGAAGGATAATCCCATCCGTGAATAGCAAAGGAGAGCCATTCCCTTCAATCAGTTCCTCTGGGGAAGCTCAGGTCCCTCGAGTCTCTGTCCACCCCCACATCACCCAGTGGCGTCAGTCAGCCTGCAATGCTATTGTCTCTATCAGCCTGGGATTGCCATTGTTCCCATCCTAATTCTGAGAGCTGGTTATCACAGGAACCCACCAACAGTTGCTCTTACTGTATCTAGACATCTGAGAAAATCAACAATTGATACAACCCAGACACAGGGAGTGAGGTGATTGGAGGAGGGACATGCGGGGATTTGGGCTCCAGGACACCTTTTAGACCTCACTGCAGAACCATCCCAAGACTTGGACCAGCAGTCTGTGGGATGCTTGTCTGCTCCGAGATGTTCTGTGAACTACTTTCTGTGTGCGACACCCAAGGTGACTGAGATAAGTCTCACCTAAAGGGAACAAGCATCAGGCATCTTCCCTAGGGAAGCATACCTGCAGGGGAGAAAGTGTCTCCACTGGCGGTTCTCTTGGTTAAGTTTCTTGAACGATCCGTGCAGCTAGTGAAGTGAGATGCAGACCCTACATGGAGTGGCAAACTTTAGGCAGTTTGTGGACGATCTCCCAAAGGCATCTCCCTTGGATTTAGCCTTCCTGTCATAAGGGAGAGGGTTAGTCCTTGGAGTACCTGAATTTCTGTAAGAATTTCCAAGCCAGATCACCAATTGAGCCTGTCAACTGGACTTTGAATAGCTTCAGGGAGTCTCTGGAAGTTCCTGAAAAATGTGTGTATACTGTAGTGATGTGTGCGAATGTGCAAGTGTGTGTGTGTGTGTGTGTGTAAGAGATGATGGGTGTCCACAGCTTTCAGGCTTAAGATTTACTCAAACAGATACCAGACCCCCAGAATAGCGAAAGGGTGTGATGCGGAGAATTGAAACAAATTTGAATTTGCTTAGGAGTAAGCCAGAAAGGAGTGGTTGGGAGAGGAGAGAAATACATCAGCCATCAGCTGCCACATCGACAGGGCGGCACTGGGGGGATGGGGAAGGGTGGGAGGGAAGGGAGGAGGGGACAGCTCTGAGAAGGAGTCAGCTTTTGAAACTTTCTCCAAGCCCCACCCACCAAGAGGCTCTTCTCCCCGGTGACTCATTGGGAGAGGAATGCGAGTTGCCACGGTAACCTTTTTTTCCCCCTAGGGTCTATGCCTACTGGATGGGAGGGGACTCTGGGAACGTTCAGGGGCCGTCATGTTCCAGTCCCCCACGCCACAACCACCCCACCCTATCCCCGCCCCAAAACAAGGAAGACAGCAAATTCCAGGCCCTGTCCCCATCTCCCACGTTCCAGGGCCCCCAGAACCATGATACGCCTCTAGAGCGGCCCTTTGCAGGACACGGGGTTCGGGTCTGTGCTTAGAGGTGTTGTTTGAGCTTGAGCTAATCTGTCTTCTTCCTGAGCTCTGACTTCCTCCCTGCAGTAACCGCAGTCCCTAGGAGAGGGTGCTAGATGGAAGGGGATAATGCACGCGCTGGGAAGCGCTCCACACATCTCACTAGCTCCTAGCCGACAGATTTTTTTTAACCACAGATAGGCTTATTCAAAGCGTGGTTTCTTCTGTTAGTTCCAACATTTGGGGTCCAGAGACATCTTAGTAATAGCGCTGACAGGAATATTTAATACATTGTTTAAATTAATTTCAATTTGGGGGTCGTCTTGTCAATTTCCCAAGAGCAGTGAGCCCTCCACTACCGAAAGTCTGGCGATCTGGGCTGGGACCAGGACTCAGTCTGAAGTGCTTGCTGGGTAAGCCTGAGGACCTGAGTGTTGATCCTCAGCCCCCACATGGGGAGCCAGGTGTGGTGGATGCCTGTCTGTAATCCCAACACTGGGGAGGCAGAGACAAGCAGATTCCTAGGGCTCACTGGCCAGCCAGCCTGCGCAGCTGGCTCATTAGCTTCGGGATAGTGAGAGACCCTGATGATAGCCAGAACTACATGATGGAGAGAGCCTGTCTCAACAAAACAAAAGGAGAAGAACAATTGAAGAAGACACTGACCTCTGACCTACACACACACACACACCATACATGTATTCACTGCATACAGGAAAGAAAGGAAGGAAGAAAGAAAGAGAAGAAAAGAAAGGGCAGGTATTGATCAGAGGCATGGGTTATATTCAATGGTAACATTGGGAAAGATGCTACCTGTCTTAGCCTCAGTTTTCCAATCTGTCAGGCAGGGATGATCTGGGTTCCATATCCCCTGAACCTAGTCCCAGGTCCTGATTGCCTTGGAAGGAGCAGCACCCTGCATGTTTAATAGCAGCCTTCTTTCTTGTCTTAGAAGAGGAACAGGAAAGAAGGCTTTGGTGGCACCCTCTCTGTGTAGATCCTCATCCAGCTGTGGGCTCTGCAGCCCAGTGCACAGCTGGGCTTTTCATTTCCAACTGCAACTTCCCATGTTGAAAATAAGCTTTACCCAGGTGGTGGTGGCACCTGCCTCTGAAGGCAGAGGCAAGTGGATCTCTGAGTTTGAGGCCAGCTTGGTCTACAGAGCGAGTTCCAGGACAGCTAGGACTACACAGAGAACTCTGTCTTGAAGAATAAAAAAAAAAAAAAAAGAAAGAAAGAAAGAAAAAAGAAGAAGAAGCTTTAAATAGCAGAGGCTGTGAAGCAAAGAATGTTTGCCTATTGAGGCCTTCTGGGCTGGTGGATGAGTCTGGGGAGATAAACAGGTAAACATATGGGGCACAGAGTTTAAATATGTAGATACTGACTTTAATGGCTAAAAATAAGTGCAGAATGCAGCCATACCCTCACATTCTTCTCCCTGAGTGATAGACACACACACACACACACACACACACACACACACACACACACACAGAGGCACACGAGTGCCCCCTTTATTTCTAAGATACAAAAGTTGAAACTCAGAAAGGAAAAGTAATTCACTTGAGATTATACAACAGGTTGGTGGCTGAGTCCAGCCTCCAGATCTTTGGAACCTTGTCAGATTCTGGCCAGTTTGGAACTGACTGTACTTGGTAGACCCTAAATCATGCATAATACATAATTAACAGCAATTCTTCCCTCCTTTTGTTGGCCAACAGTGGCCTGCCCCAGCCCACCTGACTTGGTCATTAGGCCCAAGGCCCAGCAAACGTGGCTTATAAGTGGTTTCTTAGTTGCTTTCCACTGGTCTCTCCTTGGCCTTTAACTTAGACAGAAGGGGAGGCTGGCACCAGCTTCCAGCCATCCCTGGGGATCGAGGAAGCTACCTTTCCCCTATAGTGTAGTGTGTGGATCCCTGCTCCCTCCACCTCTCCTGTGACTCCAGGGACATCTGTATTGCATAGGATCAGGGCCAGGGCCAGCAAATGATGACTTAACAGAAGCATTTTTAAAGAACAGCCACTGCCTTGGACAGAGATGTGTTGGGCAAAACTCTGCTTTTGCCTGCCAGTCCAGAGATATCTACTAGGGAAGCCATGAGCAGAGATAGTGACTTGGTCCTTCCAGGAACTGGACATAAAATCCTGGGTTAAAGGATCTCTTTGGATCATTTGTACTAATTGTGGCACTAGGATCTCAGACTTCAGTGGAACAAAACAATCACAAAAAAGTTTAGATAGTTCTGAATTTTTGCCTCAGAAACCACCTTGCCCTAGGAATTTGAGTGAATTATTTTCTCTCTGTAAGCCATGAGTTTTTTGTCTAAAAGTAGAGGCATGATAAAGAACTATCATGTGGCCCACAGTGGCAAGCTACTAGTAGTGGCTATCAAAACTCTCAAGCCACTCCAGACTTGAAGGGGAAAAGATTATATGATTGATTAGTAATGTCTGCCACATACACAGGAAGAGTATGGGGAGATTGGTATGCTACTTATCTACTGCCTTTGGAATCCCTTAGTCCTTTCCAGATGTTACATCTTGGATACTTTGATGTTTCTTATCCCCTCCATTTGTGGTCACCCCTGATGCAACAGGGATGGCTGTACATTGAGTCCCTTCCTTTTGCCTTTATTTGTTCTGGAGAGAATTGAAAACTTGGCCTGGGCTGCCAGCAGGATCCAGTCACATGGTCTGGAGGGTGCAGAGGCAGCAGGAACTCCTCCAGCCTGGTCTAGACAAAGTGAAACGTGGCATTTTAGGAGACTGTGGAATTTCAGCAGGGCTGTGTCCAGCCACAAACTCTGGAGCCTCCTCTGAGCTGCCAGAACCAATTCTAGGTTTTAACATCTGTAATGCCCTAACTGCTTCCCATAGCTTCATCCCTTCTAACAAGAAATAGAAATAAAAACAAGGAATCTGGTGCAAGTGAGAGGGAGCACTCCAAAATCTTCTGAGCTAACTCAGGAATGCAGAACAGACAAAGACCTTAGGGGCTTCCTTGCCCAAGGGTGCCTGGATGTTTCTAGGGGAACCTACAGTTATTTCAAGGTGGCTTAGGGTGTTGGAGTATGCAGTGCCCTCAGACCCCAATATTTCACGCCTATCTCTCTCTTTCTCTCTCCCCCCCAACCCCCGTCTCTCCCTCTCTCTCTGTGTCCCCTCTCTGTGTGGATGTGTGGATGTGTGGATGTGTGGATGTGTGGATGTGTGGATGGGTGTACCTGCACTTGTCTATATGTGCTTGTGCAAGCCAGAGGTCAGCCTCAGCTGTTGTTCCTCAGCTCTGTCCACTTTGTTTTTGAGACAGGGTCTCACACGGGCCTTTATCTTGCTGATTCAGCCGGCCTGGCTGATCAGCAAGCCCCAGATTCCTCCTGTTTCTGCCTCTCCCTAGTGCTGGGGTTACAGGCATGTGCTGCCATGCCCGGCGTTTACATGAAAACTGGGGATCTGAACTCAGGTCCCCATGCTTGCCATAGCAAGCACTTTATCAACTGAACTCCCCCTCCCCAAATCCCTGTTTTTGTTTGTTTTTAATTTCATGCATGGACATAGTCACATGGTCCAGCAAAGGCCCTGGGTTCTTCTGGAGCATGCTTTCTCAACAAGACCTTCACACTGGCAGCATTTCAAGGTTCAGGAACCCCTGGAGCCTGGCCTGGTGGTGCCCAACACTCAGGAAGCAGAGGCAGGAAGATCACAAATTTGAGGCCAGCTTTGGCTACATAGTGCGACCTTGTCTCAAAAAACAAAACAGCCCCTCACACCAAAAACCCCAAAGCAACCAAACTGGGTGTGGTGATTCAGGGTGGTAATCCCAGCATTTGGGAGGTGGAGGTGGGAGGATCTGGCATTTGAGACCATCTTTGGCTACAGACCAAGTTCAAGGCCTGCCTAGCCCTTAGGAAGTTTTCTGAGTCTGTGGTTCTGAGCCACACTGTCTAAAGGCCCACAGTTTTAAGATTGCCTCTGGGCATTTATACTCGGTGACATCTCCATGTCCACAGGGAGCTCCCAGGATCCCCCGTCAGGTTTGAAGGAAAGTGAGCTGGGGGCTGGCTGTACTTTTCCATCTCAACTCTTCCATCCACAGAGCTAGACAAGTGACCTCTGCTTCAGGTCCTGCTGGCAGCCCAGACTGAGTGGTCGGCTCTCTCCAGAACAAATAAAGGCAGAAGAAAGGGACTCAATGTACGGAAGAGGGGGAGGGGGTGCCAGGGTGCCATCCAGGGGTGTCTGCATTTGGTGGTCACCAAGCCAAGGGTAATACACCTCCACTTCCTCCCCTGCCCAGGGCATTTTTCCTGCCTACATCTCAGGCCAGTTTGGCTCAAGTGGGCACCATCCTGATGACCATCCCAGGAGCAGGTGGCTGCCAAGGGAAACATCACACAGTTGAGAGACCATGCTGATACTTGTCACTCATGTGCTAGGCCTTGGATCTAGACCTCATTCTTCTCCTCTGTACTATTAGGCAGAAAGACCTGCCTCAGGCCATCCTCGGAAAGCTGGCTTGTGAAGACTCTGAAGCTATTTGTATGTTCCCAGCATGCTTGGACCTAGGTTTGAGTGTGGAAGGTCATGGCTGCCTCGTACCGACTACAGTGTCTTAACCCTGTGCTCTGACCTGGCTGGGTGACTATTGTGCCTCCAGCTATCTTTGAAGGGTGTACCCCAGCCTCTTGGGTCAGAGCTATATTATAGAACCTCAGAGATGTGTCTCATGGGCAAGCAGGGAATGCAGCTCTTCATCCAGGATAGGCAATGGGTGCCCCATCTGCTTACCCTAACATCTACAGGAAAAGGAATCAGGTTGGGGAAGCAGCACCAGGCAGAACTAAGATGTAAGAGTTTTTATGTCAGTTTTCTCCCCACCCTCACACAGCCTCCGGGCTTAAGGCCATGAACCACTCCAGGACTTAGGTCCTGAAACAGGGCAGAACAAGGGTGCAGGATGATGGAGGCAGGGCAGTCTTGGGGTTCCAAGATCCACTCCTTCTCCTGCGCAGACAAGGCACCCAGACTCAGGAATGGCTCTCTAACTCTCTAACCCGAAAGTTTTCATGTGTCTGGTCTTAGCCTGGCTACCTCTTCAGTGATTTGACTTCTCTGCTATTGAAGCTTGGACTGGGTGACGTGTGGGCTCTAGCTGCCAGCCCCACTTTGATCTTTCCATTTCAAACAACCTCAGACAAGTCCTTCATTGATGCCCTCTCTCCTGTTCCATCTGCCCAAAGCCACACGCAGGGGATGCTGAACCCATGTTTTCCAAATGGAGACTCAAGAAGGAAAACAAGTGAACAACTGTGAGAGGGGAAAGAATGTTCCAGAAGCTGACTAGAAAAGGAAGGCTAGACCCTTCTGTCAGGCAGAGCTGTCCTGAAGCAATAACAAGCTTCCAAATCAATTCATTGACTTCTTTATAGTTTTACTTCATGCCCATACCATGAAGTAGGGGGTGAGGCCTTTTCCAGCTTTAGCTAGCACTGGACTATTATGATCTATTCCTCCTCTGACTGTTCTGCTACTCTGAATAGTACTGTGGTGCTGTAGATTGAGTTCAGGGTCTTGTGCATGCTAGCCAAGCACTATACTATAGTGCTACACCCTCAATTCAAAGGTATTTGGGAATCTGGACTTTTTTTCCCCCCAAATACTATTACCCAAGGGAAGAAGGTGGAAACCGGAGGAGGGGCTATGCCAAGACCAGCTTTCCTTGTGTTTGTTTGGTGTCAAGGACTGAAAGCTAAGCATATGTTCTGCTCCTCTGCTATACTCCCAACCTTCCATTACTATAAGCATTTTAAAGACTGCATCCATCATCTCGAAGTTTACCTCCTCTAACCCTGTTGACAAACAGGGAGCCAAGGTTTAGAAAGAACAAAGAATTTAACCCATACATAGAGACAATATCGAGGTTGAGAACCCTGGGCATTGACTCCAAGCTTAGTAGCTCTGCCCATGTTGCCAAGGCATCTCCCAGCACCTAGCTTTATCAATTGAAAATGTCTTAGAAGAAGCTAGGATTGATGAGGCTGATGGGAACTCTTGGGTAATCAGATAAGGAAGATATTGCTATTGTTCCCTTGGAAGCCCTTAAGGGGCAGAGGGAGCACGCTTTGCTTTGTGTATCTGTAGAAAGAGACAGAATAAACCACAAGCTTGAGGGAGTAGATTTAGGAAGAACTTTCTAGAACCATTTGGTAACAGAAGTCCATCTGGTTAGCTCAAGGAGTCAAGTGTCCCCATCACAGGTCCCTGAGTCATCAGCTGAAGTCTGCTCCAAGGTCCCTTCTAGGCTTGAGTGTGAGAGTTCAGAGTTTAGCATCTAGAAAACTGTGTCACAGCAGTGACCAGGGGGACTTTCCAGATCTTAGCTTAACACAGGGACACAGCTGGGTGATTTCCCTGGAGGATTCAAAGAACGCTGTTCCTCTGGACAGAGAGGACAAAATGCGACCTCAGGTTTCTACCACCCCAGAGCATTGGGCTTTGTTTTCAAGTGTATCTCATTGTCTCTGATTCCCGTTGACTTCTCCCATTGCAGAGGAGGGAGTGTGGAGGGGAAGAGGAGTAAAGGGAGGGGGAGAGGAGGGAGGAGTGAAGGAGGAAGAGCTTGAGGAATAAGGGGAAGAGTCTTAAAACAAGAGGGATCAAAGAGCCCAAACTTGACCTTTTAGCCTGTCATCTTTGTTCAAAACCTGAAATCAGTGTACTTAAAATGGAGACTTCATCTCATGACCATAAATAGAAAACTCTCTGCCTTTGTCCTCAACCGAAGGAAACTGGGGGTGGGAAGAGCCAGGGTGCAAACAAACCAATTCCATTCACTCACAGCTGCAGAGTTAGTTTCACTTGGAAGCCCCAGGCCACGTCTGCTTTTTGCATTAACAAGTTGGACAATGGTTGTTGGAGGGCTAAAGGCATCTTAGCCATAAATGAGGTTTCCTTTTCACTGCCAAGACATTAACACAGTCTTGGTTAACATTCCAATCTAAAGTCACCTTTCACCTCTCAGGACCTCAGGAGGAAGTCTCTCTTGCTGACCCATATTCTCTCTTCCCTGCAGGGCTCCCAACACCATGAGGGCCTGGATCTTCTTTCTCCTTTGCCTGGCCGGGAGGGCCTTGGCAGCCCCTGTAAGTACCCAAAGATGCCGTCTGAGTCCTAACTCATTCCACTTTCTCCAATTTCTGAACCTGCTCTGGTTGCTCGAAGAGACAGCAGGACTGGGATGTGACTCAGTTGGCAGAGTGCTTGCTTAGCATTCATGCACAAAGCCCTGGGTTCAGTCCCCAGTATCGCATAAAGCCAGCCTTATGGAACAAACCTATAATTCTAGCATTTGGGAGCTAAAGGTAGGAGGATCCGGAGTTTAAGGTCATCTTCAGCTATATAGTGAGTTTGAGGGCAGCCTGGGCTACATGAGATCCTGTCTTTAAAAAAAAAAAGGGGGGGGGGCTAGAGAGATGGTGCTGTGGTTAACAGCACTTGCAGACGACCTAGGTTCAATCCCCAGCTCTCTTGTGGCGGCTTACAACCAGGGGCTCTGATGGCCTCTTCTGACCTCTTGTGGGTACCAGGCATGCATATGGTATACAGACATACATGCAGGCAACACACTCATACACATAAAATAAAATAAATAAATCTAAAAGAATTTTTTAAAATATGTAAGTCTTTTTCTTAAGTCAACAAGGTTAGGAGAAATAATGGGAGGGAACTCTTGGGTAAAGGTTCCAAAAAAGAGAGCTTTCTGTAACCCACAGGTCAGAGCTTGCACAGTAGTCCAGGTTCCCTTTAGCAGGAACTGGTCTCTGAGGCCATCAACAGCAGGGATGAAGGCCTGTGGGTGGGAAGGAAGCTGGGGAAGGACCTAGGCCCTGGGAAAGGAACAGGTTGGCTTCTGAGTCCACGAAGCTATTTGATTATAAGTAACTGACTCCAATTGAATTGTGGGGAGTAGAGAAGACGAAGGCAGAGATCATGACATGGGAGGCTTTTGGAGGCCTGGGAAGCGGCAGCCCAGGCGGATCTTACAGTAAGACAGGCACTGGGCAGGCTTACTGGGACAGCGAGAGGTTGTCATGGAGTGAACCAGAAATGACCATGACTCTAACTTCAAGGAATGTGCTGGATTAAAAGTAAGACGAAACAAAAAAGAAACATTCCAAGAGAGCCAGTCTGGCCAAGTGAGGTCCTAGCCCCCACTGCTTCCAGGGTCTTACTATATATGGTTCACCTCCAATTCCCAATAGTAGGTTATATGTGCCACTGTGTCTGGCCAGGAACAGCTTCTTTCAATCCAGCATTCTCTGCTCGTTTCACTAGGGGGCAGATGGCAGCCTCTGGCCTAACTCATCAGACAGGCAGATTTTGACTGAAGATTTGGTGAGGTTGCCTTTAATTGTGGAAGTGATTGCAGCCAATCAGGGCCTCAAAGTTTTGTGTCACCCCCAATGGTTCCTCTTGGAGTCTGAAATGTCAGGAGGGAATTTTCTAGTAACAATAAAATGAAGTCACAGAGGGTGTTCATTTTGTCCAGGTCTCAGTTTCCCCATCTGTGAATTAAAGGAGTCGATCTGTCCCTTGTTTTCAGGTTGTATTGAGACTTGACTATCAGAAATACTCCTGCAGTAAAATAATGGATGGGCTAGATGGTTTGGTGGGAAGTATATAGAAGCCAAGTGTGGTGGCTCAAGCCCATGATCCCAACCGATGGAAGGCTAAAACATAATTGGCAAGTTCAAGGCCAGCCTGGACACTGTAGTAATATCCTGTCCAAATGAAACAATGAAATGAAGGCTTGTTTCAGCAGTAGACTGACTAAAATTGGAATGATACAGAGAAGATTGGCACAGCCTTAGTGCAAGGGGACACCCAAATACATGAAGTATACCATACTTTTTAAAAAAGAAATGAAGAGGAGGCTAAAGAGATGACAAACTGAGTTTGATCCCCAGGACCTACATGGTGGAAAGAGAGAACCAACTCCCACAAGTTATCTTACTGTGGCGTGGGTGCTCACTCCATCCTGCACATAACAACTCACACATACAAATGAAATAAATGTAATGACATTTTTTTTAAAGGAAGGAATGAGGGCGAATGGAGTTGCATTGTGTTCTCCAGCCTGAGACCTCAATGTCCCCAGCCTTGTGTTCCCAGCAGTGACACTTCAGAGAGGAAGCTGGCATTGGCCTTGACCAACTCTCTGAATCCTGTTTTCCTTTGCAGCAGCAGACTGAAGCCCCTGAGGAAATAGTGGCAGAGGAAACTGTGGCAGAGGAAACTGTGGCAGAGGAGACAGGGGTGCGTATGTGGTGTGGTGGTGGTGGTGACCCCACCTCTGACCCCCTTCTGCTGGGTGCCTTCCTTGGCCCATCCAGACAAGTGCAGTGGGTCTCTTCACTGGAACGGGACATACATCCTCTCCTTGTGTGCACACAGAACACAGATATTAACCTGAGTATCTCCAGACAGCCCTGACTGTTCCCCAAACCTTCAGTTGAGCCCCGAGGTTGGGAGGATTCAGAAATGTTTGGGTTTCATATTTTTTCTCTTATTCCCCACAGTCTCCCCTGGTGTGAAACAAGGGGACCACAGTTGGGACTGGCAGGCAAAGAGGGCTTGGTATGCCTTTTGTCCTAACATCTTGGAGGCCTCTGCTTTATCTTAATGGAATTTCAGGATTCTAGACATATTTAATACAGAATAGTCAATTGAACAAACTAATAATAAATATATGGCTCCACCTAAATTCTCCACCCTCTTGTTTACACTGTGATCTGGGCCCAGCCCACTTTTCTCCAGGATGTCCCTCACACTCTCTTGTGGGTTTCTGAAGCTTCATGCAGGCCCCTCTTTCTTCTCTGCAACTCTCTCCCAGGTCTGGGGTGGTGTGAGGACCTCAACCTCATTCTTTCTCTTCCATGCCAGGTACCGGTGGGTGCCAACCCAGTCCAGGTGGAAATGGGAGAGTTTGAAGATGGTGCTGAGGAAACTGTGGAGGAGGTGATAGCTGAGAGTAAGTCTCTTCCCTGTCACTTGGCACATCTGGGTTGCCTTTGCCTACTTGGAGGCCCAAGGACAGCGTACAGGAAGCTTTCTGACTAAGGGGATGCATTGTGGGGCCCTGGTAGCTGTGGAGGGACAGCTGGGAATCCTCATGGCCAGGGGAGTCTGGGATATATCTATTTATAGCCAGGGCATCCAAGCTGTGAAGGGCAGAGGAAACTCCACAGTTGGGTGTCATATTCCCACAAAGGTTATGGTCACATCTGGTCACCAAGATTCCCCCAGGGCCTCAGCCGGACTCAAGCTCCTCCCAGGAGCCCATCTGAAAAAGCTGACTGGCTCATTCAATTTCCATTTGGCCCAAGGAAGCAGGGCCTGTAGGATGCAAATTCTAATGCCTCAAGTAGAGAGGGAGTGACTCAGGGCCCAGGCTTCAGCCCACTGACTGAGGCATCTGTATATAATGGATCAAGGACATGGACTTTGGAAGTAGAGATTCAAACAAGGTTTGAATCCTTTGAACCAGGGCCTCCATATCTTAACAAAGCTGGAAGCCCCAGGGAAATGGCTCAGTGGGTAAGATCACTTGCTGCACAAGCAGGAAGACCCAAGTTCAAATCCCCAGCACCCACTTTAGCTTTCTTGAGGGGACAGTAAAGGATGTTTGGAGAGAGCTGGGGAAGCAGGGGCTTAGGCATGGGGTCTTGAGTCATTTCCTTTTCCTCTTCCATGCCCAGCCACTGTTTCCTGTCCTAGCTGGGCCCATTGTCTACTGTGGGTCTGGATTGTTCCTTTTCCTTTGTGGACACCTGATTCTGTTCCACTGAACTTTACAGCTCATGGAATCCATGACAACAGCTCAATCTTCCAAGTCATTCTAAAAAATGCTTTGGATCCAGAAATGCTGCAATGTGGTTGCTCATCAGAGAGCTGAGAATCTAGTTTGGTTATTGGGGGATCCATATGCACCCAGGCTTCTGAATCCTAGACTGAGATCCAGACCTTGAACTGAGTCTCTAATCCCCAGACTGAGCCAGCTGCTCCCCTCAACTCTATGGCTGAGCATAGAGGTTTGGGGATGTCCAAAACTCTGCTGTTGGGAGTCCAGTACAGCCAAAAGATGTCAACCCCAAACCCCCACCTGTGTGTTGTCGGGGGATGTGCCATGCTGGTGAGCTAACACTATGTTCTGTCCTCCAGACCCCTGCCAGAATCACCACTGCAAACATGGCAAGGTGTGTGAGCTGGACGAGAGCAACACCCCCATGTGTGTGTGCCAGGACCCCACCAGCTGCCCTGCTCCCATTGGCGAGTTTGAGAAGGTAAGAGTGGGGACCTGGTTCCTACAAAGCACTGTGTGCTAAACAATCTGGGGCCATGGGGGAACCTAGCAGCTCCATTCTCAGAAGTCCTCTCCCTAGGACCAGTCACAACAGGAAAGTGGAGCTGAGTCATAGTTGAGAACCTCCTTGGCCCCACCCTTCTAGCCGCTGATGAGAATTCAAAAGAATTTACTCGTACCACCAGGCTCCAGGCTCTGTGTTGATCATGATCCCTAAGTGCTACATAATCTCAGATGGAATGCACTCTTGTTCATAATTTTGTTATTTTTTTTTACATTTTATTTATAATGTGTGTATGAGTGTGTGTATCATGCATATAGAAGTCAGAAGACTTGCTAGGGTCTGTTTTCTCCTTCTACCATGTGGGGTCCAGGATCCCAACTCAGGTCATCAGACTTGGTGACAGATACCTTTACTTGTTAAGCCATCTCACTGGCCCTGTAATGTAGTTAGCAAAGCATTGTGCCCATAGATGGGGGTCCAGGATCTGCTTGAAGGTTGACTGCTAACCTCATCTCCATCACTTGATGGCTGTGAGATCTTAGCTAAGGTGCTGAGCATCTCTAAGTCTTAGTCCTCTCATGACTGAAAAGGGAGAGAGAATCCTGAATGAGAGCTGCTGTGCATTTGTTAAAGGATGCCAGGTAGCTGGGCGATGTTGGTGCATGCCTTTAGTCTCAGCATTTGGGAGGTAGAAGCAGGTGGTGGTTCTCTGTGAGTTCAAGGCCTGCCTGGTTTACAGAGTGAGTTCCAGGACAGCCACGACTGTTAAACAGAGTGTGACTGTCTCAAAAAACAAAAACAAAAACAAAAAAACAAAACAAAAAATGAATTTAAAAATAAAAATAAATAAAAGAATGAAGGAATAAGGCTTTAAATCAGTGATAGACACTTACCTAACATGTGCAACCTATTCAGGTCCAGCACTGCAAAAATGTTCTCTCCAGAGACTGGTCTAATAGCTGAGTGTGGACCAATCCTAGATTCCCACTGGGAGCATGGGCACTCTGCCTAAAGCATCCGCTGCCAGTAGCCCATGTCCAGTGACTATCCTTGTCAACTAGGGAATGGTCATCAGCTGAGCTCCAGACCCAAGGCCATGGCCAGCCTTATGTTGCCATCTTTCTTTCCTTCCTTCCTTCATTTATTTGTTTGTGTTTGTCTGTTTGCCCACATCTGTGTATGTCAGGGTGTGTGTTAGGAGTCAGTTCTTTTCTTCTACCAAGTGGATCCCAGGATCAAACTCAATTCAGTAAGCTTGGTGGCAAGTTTTTGTTTTTGTTTTTTTGACACAGGGTTTCTCTATGTAGCCCTGGCTGTCCTGGAACTTGCTTTGTAGACTAGGCTGGGCTTAACCTCACAGAGATCCACCTGCCTCCACCTCCGGAGTACTGGAATTAAAGGTGTGTGCCACCATGCCTGGCTTGACTGTCTTTACCCTCTGAGTCATTTCACCTATCCCATTGTGTCTTTCACAAGGATAATGGTTCCTGGCTTGCTGTGTACTTTTGTCCATGTATGCATGTCTTTTCCACAGCCCTATCTCTTTGCTGTCCTTGAAGAACCTTTCATGTCTTGGCCCTGACTCAGTTGTGCTTCTGCTCCAGAATCACCCATAGCTCTCATATGGTGGGACAGTGGGATCTAGAGTGACTGTATTAGTCAGTGTTCTATTGCTGTGAAGAGACACCATGACCACAGTAACTCTTATAAAGGAAAACATTTAATTGGGTCTGGCTTACAGTTTCAGAGGGTTAGTCCATTATCACAGTGGGAAGCATGGTGGCGTGCAGGCAGACATGGTGCTGAAGAAGGAGCTGAGAGTTCTACATGTTGATCCACAGACAGAGGGAAGAAACTGTTACACAGGGCATGGCTTGAGCATCTGGGACCTCAAAACCTGCCCCCAAGGACCACTTCCTCCAACAAGGCTATACCTCCTAACAGTGCTACTCCCTATGGGCCTGCGTGGGTTATTTTCTTTCAAACCACCACAGTGGGCTACTGTTCCCTGATCTCTAATTCACTGTGTGTGTGAGAACTTGGCTGTTACAATTTGTTGTTTGGGTTCCATTGTCCTTATCTCTGAAATGGGAAGGGACAGGGATACTAGGTCGGGCTTTGGGATTGAAGGAGAGTTGCCCTGTGCTTGACCAACAGGTGTGCAGCAATGACAACAAGACCTTCGACTCCTCCTGCCACTTCTTTGCTACCAAGTGCACCCTGGAGGGCACCAAGAAGGGTCACAAGCTCCACCTGGACTACATTGGACCATGCAAATGTGAGTGTCCTCACACCTTCCAGCCTCCTTCTCAGGGAGACAGCTCTGTGTTCTCACTCTTGCCAGCTCTGTGATCTTGGTTAAATTTCATCCCCTCTTTGAGCTACAGTGTACCCATTCACAAAATGAATTCAGGCCATCTTATCTCCTGGGAAGAGACAGCCATCATAGGAGTATGTTTTAGAGAAGATTGAGGATGTGCTTTCTTTTTACTTCTTTTCGTTTTGATTTGTCAAGGCAGGGTTTCTGTGTGTAGCCTTGGCTGTCCTGGAACTTCCTTTGTAGAGTAGGCTGGCCTCGTACTCACAGAGAGCCACCTGCCTCTGCTTCTCAAGTACTGAGATTAAAGGTGTGTGCCACCACTGCCAGGCAAAGATGTTCCTTCATAAGGCTAACTTAAATCCTTCCTACTTCAACTCAGTAATACCAAAACAATGTTTGCCCTGGGCCCGCAGAATATTTTAAATGTCTTTCAATGTGAATGCTCTTCAAATAGGGAGTGCCTGGATCTGGGGAAATGGCTCAGTGGATAGAGTGCTCACTGTATAAGCATAAGGACCAAGTTCTACCCTTAGAACCTATGTAAAAAGGCTAGGTTTGGTAGTACACACTTGGACTCCCAGGACTGGGGAGATGGAACCTGGAGGATCCCTCCAGGCCACCAAGAGAGCATGTTTCAAAAAATAAGTCAGATGGTTCATGAGGTGTGATATCTGAGATTGACCTCTGGCTTCCACACATGTACACAAGCATATATGACTGTGAACACACATCTATTCCATCATACTCCTTAGCTCCCTTTTCTAGAAGCCTAGGGATTTTGAAGAGGGATGTCAGGAGCTCTTACTGGCCCATTGTTAGTGACCCAAGCTACAAATTCCTTTTTTTTTTTTTTTTTTTAAGATGTATTTGTTTACATATTCCGTCAGATCCCATTACAGATGGTTGTGATTACCATGTGGTGGCTGGGAATTGAATTCAGGATCCCTGGAAGAGCAGCTAGTGCTCTTAACCACTGAGCCATCTCTCCAGCCCCCAAGATCCAAATTCTGCTGCCTCTATGGTTGCCTTGTCATCTGAGTTCCCCCAAGACACACTCACTGCCTGTGAGACAGCATAAGCTGTGTATCTACAGCATGTTCTACAAAGGGATTCTACATAGGGAACATCCTACCCCATGGGCCAGAACTATAGCTAGGTGGTAGAGTGATTGTCGAGTGTGCACAGCGGCCTAGATCCCATTCCCAGCTCTGCAAGCCAAACTGAACCAAACCCAAACAAAGGAAGGCCCCTCCCCTGCCTGAGGTTTTCAGCTGAAGGAAGTGAGGGCAGGAAACAAATGTTCCAACAGTTATCCCTGAGCTCTTAATGATGGGGCTGGGGTGTGGAAGGGAAGGTATAGATTAGAGAGCCTTAGAGAAGACAGGGTGGAGAAAGTTGGGGAGGCTTGAGCATGTTCTAAGGAGCCCTTAGTAACTGGATGCTGCTGCCTCTAAGGCCACCCTCCTCCCCAGTCCAGCTCCATATGGAGCTTTCCACTCTGAATGGCAGTGGTCCTAGTCTCAAAAGGGTGTTTCTTTGGATTCAAAGCTATGGAAGAACATGCACCAGATTCCCTCAGGTATCCATGCTAACCGGATGCAGGCTGATGTTCTGATAATCTGGCTGCAAGCAAGAGCCTTCTCTTGCCCACTGCTAAGTCCAGTGACAGGAGAGCTTGAATGAAATCTCCAGATGTAACATTCTGGGGTTAAGATCTCTAAAGAGTTTCTGGGTGGTGTGCATTCTTGAGCCTTCTCCCCACTGCTGGACCTATGGGTAGAGGTTGTTACCTTCTAGGGTTTGGCTTCCAATTGTTGAGATCACACCCTGCCTATCACCTAGAAAGATGCAAGAGCATCTGGGTGGTAGTGTGCCTTATCAGGTCAGGGGCAAGTGGACACATGCAGTCTTCTTTGCTTACCATGTTGTGAAGGGTCTGGCTCAGAGGGACAGAGATACCATGGCCAAGGTTGCCCAGTGAAGTGCCTGTGCGGTAGGACAAGAAGGAGAGAGTAGCCAGGTAGTATGTCTGCCCTCTGGCAGGTCCAGGTTGACTAATCTTGTCTTCTGTGCCCTAGACATCCCCCCCTGCCTGGATTCTGAGCTGACTGAGTTCCCTCTGCGCATGCGTGACTGGCTCAAAAATGTTCTGGTCACCTTGTATGAGAGAGATGAGGGCAACAACCTCCTCACTGAGAAGCAGAAGCTGCGGGTAAGTGGCTTCCTCCCAGCTTGGACCAGTGTGCCTGCTATTGATTTCTCTGGACCCTGATGATAGAGATCTAGGGCCAGTTCCTAAAACCAGGCCCCAAGGTGGCCTACGTCCTACTTTGCAGGGTGCTTTCACCCTGGATTCCAGGACATAAACTTCCAGCTGCCTTTGGAGGCTCTGAGACTGTCCGTAGCAGACAGATCCAAAGCATAGCCCTATTTATTCCTTCTCCATCTGAGTCAACAAGCCTTCTTTGGTGGGCATATTTAGCCCCATAGAAGAGACCTCATCTTGATTTCCCAGCCCCAATTTATTAAGCCTCCTTAGGCAGTGGTGGCATGAGGCACGTGGTACTATGGCCTCCCCATCTATGGACAAGCTACTGGCTTCCACCAGCACCTCTCTCTTCTTCTCACTGTGGGATATGGCCTTGGGTGGCCTCTTGTCACAGATAGGAGGGAGCCTCGACCCTTGGTCACCTGATGATTCCACACCTATAGGTGAAGAAGATCCATGAGAATGAGAAGCGCCTGGAGGCTGGAGACCACCCTGTGGAGCTGCTGGCCCGAGACTTTGAGAAGAATTACAACATGTACATCTTCCCTGTCCATTGGCAGTTTGGCCAGCTGGATCAGCACCCCAGTGATGGGTAAGATTCGGGGTTCTCAGGACCATCGGCTCAGCTCTGGCCTGGACTGAGTTCGGTTGGGGTACTAGATGAGTCTATAAGGCCCCTCAGCAACCTTTGTTGCTCCTCAGCCCAAAACTCCAAGGTCTACTTAGGGTTAGAGCAGATGGAACAAGCATCCCGAGGAAAGATGAAGGCTCAGGCGGAAGAAAGCCCTGAGACCTTCTAACATCAGAAGTAGGATTCATCAGTACAAGGAATGGTTCCTATACCTGTGAAGGCAGGGGCAGTGGACCCATGTGTGCAGACAGAGAGTGTTCAGGAACAGACTTCAATGCCACCCAGGGCCAAGGCATAGCAGCCTTGCTCATGCCTCCTATGTGCTTGCTCATAGTCCTTCAGCAGACTAGGAAAGCCATCCCAATGTCCCTGTCCCAGATCCAGCCTGTAGTTTAGCTCCATGGAGCCTACCTGTCCCAGAAGTTCCTAAAAATTTCAGTCAA